TTAACCAATTTAATTTACATTGTAGCATAAGACCCCTCAATGGTATAACTCAATGTCCAATTTCAAGTTTAACTCAATGGACATTTTGGTCGTAATTACCCAATTTATATCCGACGTAGCATTACTTCCTCTAATGATATTACTCAACGTAATGCTTGGCTGAAATTACTCAGTTTACACTGTAGCATAGTATCTTCTATTAGTATGGTTTTATGGTACAGCGCCATCAAAACTATCACTGTAATATAGATATTTATTGTGACACAAATATACATGTATGTTGTAATAAATTACTTGGTTCACATATACTATATGGACTGTATGGTAATTTCCGAGTGTCAATAAACGATATTGTTCTCAATTATGTGTATTTGTTATTATAACCCAAGCCACGTGAAAGAAACCGAACATACATTTCACATTGTAGTTTCATCTGTACATTGTGCAGTCAATAAAGGACGACTCGCTGCTCATCTGTTGATATCAGAGCAAGACGCGGACGTGTACAACAATGAACGAAACACACTATCTAAGACAAGTCTTTGCCCTGGTATCATGCAGTTAGTGCGCCGTGGCTCGACATACAAATGTCAAGAGGGTGGTTACAGGTCACATTAAATAGATGGTATTTATCCTTATATGGTCACTACACATGTTGACAGTATCCATCTCAAGAAGCTAAACCGGTGTATGAAAAAAAATCGAAATTAGTTTACCAGTTGGAGGAGATTTTCTAGTAATAATAAATATATAATAATAAAGTTGACAAGATATGTTTTAAACCTCCAACTGTGCGAATTATCAAGATGGTTGTCAATCAGAGGTTATTCAAATCCAAGTGTAAAAGAGCGGTGGTCGTCGCGCCACGCATGCGCGAGATATGGGTCTCTTATGAACAAAGATGGCGACTTTGACTGTTGCACAGACCAACGAGTACGAACGGAGACGTTTCCAAGCTTTAATTAAGTATTTCTCCAGTGATTGGAAGGTATCGAACGAGTCATTCACAGTAATTAGTGCAAATGCCGCTAAGGTCAAAACTCATGAATTCCAGTAGAAGTGCGCACTGGATTCTGGAAAAATGCGCTGCGCGACGACCACCGACTATATGTAACTTCAAAGCAGTAGATATTTCCAACACCATCAATTCAAAGCGACTGTGTTATACGAAGTGGTTTTGGTACGAAGTGACTATAACTGATTAACACAACCGTTTAAACGTTGGCCACGAAAATGATATTTGTCATAACGCATCACCGTCTGTTTACAATGAACTGTTACATTGATACAATGTATACTGAAACTT